TTGGTCTAAGTTGAGCATCTTTCCGGACTGAGCCCCATGAATGGAAATTCTCATGTTCCAGTCTCTGCACACAGGCATTGAAGATCTCTTGACAGTTTACACAAAAGGAGGGATGTTAACCCCAGTGTCCTTGCCAAATGCTAACTTTGTTAATTACAGTCTGCTTTCTTTAATTCTCCTGCAGTTTTAATTAGATATGGTATTATTCTCTTCCTGTACCACATTGTCACTGGTTATTCCCATTTAACCATTCACTGTGTTAAAGGTTGTTAATCTTTTGTCCAAAGCTAGCTGTATTTTAGAACTAGAAAAAAAAGGCTAATTATATACTGCTATTTTTAATATGTGTGTCCTCACCCCTTCTGAGCCACTTGTATCTACATTCTCAGACACACATACATAAATATGAGTATCATGAACGGAAAGGCTGGAAATTATGTGACTTACCAGGACTTCTCAGAACAACACAAGTGTGAACTAATACAGCTCATGACACCTGCAGGATAAATAGATTATTTCCCAGAACTTTTCATACCTAAATGTTCTCATATCTCTAAATCAAAATCAAGAACATGCTTTTGACATAGTGTAATCATCTGGATGGAGTTTAATATGCTTTGGGTTTCATCAGATGTGACACTTCTGTATACTTGTAATATCATCATTGTACACATATGATATAACCCCAAACTGCAAATAAATTGTACTTTTAGTAAGATCGCATCAGACTTTTGTACGATTATGTCAATGTACTCCCCCATAATTAGAAATGTGAATATTTTTCAAGAATAATCCAGTCTGGTTTGCTTTGCTTTTATGTGATTTTTAAAATGAGAGTGTATTTGCAAATTTTCACATTCAGAGCACACTGAGGTGTCATGAGGAGGTACATGCAGGAGAAACCCTGCAACAGTCACACCAGGCTTTCTTTAGAGTTAAGAAGATGCAGGTGATTAACTTCACTTCACTCTAAGTGTCCAAGACAGATCAGATTAATCACCTCCTATTTCTTCTTCTCATCCTGAATCCTGACATTGACAGTTATTCCTTGTGCACTAATTCATAGCAGATATTTCAATGTGTCACCATGGCTGTAGGAAAGAAGTGACTGTCAAGGTAGTCTAATTTACTGGTGCTTTATACCCACTCTGCCCTACTGTAAGTGTGAAAATGCTATGCTAGCTGAGAATGAGGAGAGTGTGTCAAATGGAGATCACCAGTGGCTCTGCTCTATCCATAAAGAAGCCATTTATCCATCATAGTGGCCACTACAATATACCTGAGATTTCTGCTAAATACACAGAATAAAGTACTTGATAGTGTGATTAGCACAACTTCTTTGAGCAGAATCATCCAGACAAATGCTGAAGGGAGACAGCAAACCGAGACCTGGAAGGTATAAAGGTATCAATAATAGAAACATTTTGTGTGTGTGTCCTTTTTATGGCCAGCTGAGTAAACTGTTTAATCTGTTTTCCAGTCCTTCAGCACAATGACTGAGATGATGGCAGGCTTAAGAAGAGTCAAACCATTTGCTGTTCCCCCAAAGTATCTTAACTATGGATTATTACCAGTTCTACTAGTCATACCTGTGATCCCGACACTTAGAAATTAATGCTTTCAAGATAGGGAAATGAGTGAGAATTTTGCAGGCAGTCTGTGACAGAGCTGTTGCATAGGGTTATTCTCTGATGTCCAAGTTCTGAAGAATAATTTAGGACAGTTGACATTAGACCAAATTTCCCCTTCATGGCATGACAGAATGATGCTGGTTTTGATACTCTTAGTGATTAGAATCCTGGACTCCTTTGCCTTTCAACATTGCCTCCCAAGGGACTCTGTCAACCGGTCTCCTAAACAAGCCAAAATCTGCCCTCCAGAAGTTCAAGATAACAGTTCTGCTGATCCCCTTCCTTACTTCTCCAAGAGTTGAAAAAGCTGTCATCTCATGATCACTGTGCCCAAGACAGCCTCCAAACACCACATCACCCACAATTCTTTCTCTGTTCATAAATAACAGGTCCTTCCTTAGTTGGATCCATCAATAGTTCTGTCAGGAAGTTATCTTCCACACACTCCAGGAAACTTCTTTCAGCTGCTTATAGAATATTTTGTCTGCTTTTTCATGCTGGTTGCATGGTCTGTAACAGACTTCATCATAATATCTGTCTTTTTGGCCTTCTCCTTGATTGTCATTCATAAACAGGAAAATATTTCATGTCTTTTGATGTTCAATGGAAGTATTAGCACAGTCAGACATAGACCATGGAGAGACTCTTGCAGCTCTGGATAACACTGCCACAGCAGTTTTGCTGATGGAAGGAGGCTTCTGAAATCTTATCACTACAGGCAATCACATATGAGTTAAAAGTAAATTCATTAGCTGTGAAACAAATTCAGCTGAAATGTCTACCTGTGGTTTTGAGTTTACTCACCCTCCTTTGAGCCTTTATACACTTCTGAACTTTCAGATGTGTTGGTATTATTTTTTCATGACCTTTCCTACTGGATTTGGGCCTTATCATTTGAATTCACACCTACATTAATAGACAATAGAAATCTAACAATATTTCAAGGAGAAAGATGAATTTCAAGTTATATATAAGGAAGAAGCTCTTTACTGTGATGGTGGTGAGGCACTGGAACAGGTTGCCCAAATAAGTGGTAAATTCTCCATCCCTGACAATGTTCAAGGCCAGGCTAGACAGAGTCTTGTATGACAAGGTCCAGTGTGAGGCGTCCCTGCCCATCGCATTTGGGTTGGAACTAGATGATCTTAAGGTCCTTTTCAACTCTAACCATTCTATGGATGTTCTGTGAATGAATTACTGCTTGAAAATTAGAGGTAATCATTGATGTATCTTGTGTTTGTCAAATGGTAGTTTAAAATTCTGATTTTTTTTTATTATTGGCATTGAAATTCTTATACATTAAAGAGATTGCCACCAGTTACATGCAAGTTATTAAACTCATGTACACAGCTGAGTAAAATATGTAAAATATGGCAAATATGCATTTTATATTCATTAGATTATTTAGTAGGTTATATTATTCTCGTTATCATTATTGATGTTTTCTGGCATTTCTCAAAACCAATAGCCTAAGCCATATAACAACCTTACACAAGGTCCACTGGAATAAGTGTAGGATCACACTGACTCTCCATTTTTTATATTACCCTGTTTTCATGTCATTTCAATAAGCCACATTCATTTACATGAATGTAGAAAATAATTAAATATGTGTCTAGAGCTAAAATGACTTCAGTCTTGGAATGTAGTTGTACTATGCTTGGAGGAAAGAAAATGAAAAGGTAAAGCTGCGGTGAATTCAGTATTACTTGTCAGTTTACCACTCTGGAATGAAACTAAGGTGCTTAATGTGAGAATGCGCTTAGAATTCAAATCCTACATATTAAACGTTGCTTGTTCTTGAGTAATACTCAACTGAATTCCAAACATTCTTTTAAAAAGTATTTTCATTGAGAGATCAAATATGTAAGCAGGTTTTCAAAATTGACTTGGTGTTGTGATTTCTAAAGGTATTTAAGAATTGACAGCTCTCCTAAGTAATAAAACTCTGCCTTAAAAATTAATGTTACTTATATGTATGAAAAAAAGAATCCTGATTGCTTCAGTACATTGTAGTTTATACAACTCGAAGAATTTAAAACAATCTGGGTTCTCAGAAAATTTAGTAAAATTATGATTAGAGCCTAAGAAAAGCTGGTTCCCAGCAGAACTATGGGTGGTGTCTCAGTGACCTGTCTGAAAAATTATGGGGTATTTGAGGATCTATGTGTGCAGAGCACATCTGTAAATCATGTTTTCTTGTCTACGAAAAACAATTTTCTTAAAGAAAATGCTGTTTCATATCAGTATTCTTACCCACAATTTTTATCACTTTTTCTTCCTTTTTATTTTTCCTTTTTTTCTTGGCCCAGTGGCACCAAACTCACTTTCTCTGCCCTTGTGTGGTGGCTGCAAAAGAAAAATTTTCAGCACAAACATTATATGCATGATAAAATGAAAAAGATGTGTTGCTTTTATTGCCTTAGAAGGCAATAAGAATGCAAAAACTTTTTGTGTGAATCTTCATTTGGACTCCATTATACAGCTGTTTGCACGTGAAATTACAGAAATATGTAAGACAATGGTCAATGCTGAAAGTTTGATTATATCATCATAGAAACTGTGCAAAGCCTGAACTGTTGTTCTTTACTGAACTTTCATGAATGTTACAGTTATTTCAGATATGTAAAGTTATTCAAGTAAAAGTAATATTTGGATAATTATCTGGAATCAATAGAAACATACTTCAGCCTTACTTATCTTTAAACACATTCTATAGTTTTATTTAAATAATGTTATATTACATTTGGGACTGTAGTAGTATGCATGATCATACATGTTACAGATCATAAAACTATTAGGTTATCTGGTCTATCCTAATAACAGCACGATTTCTTTCCTTAAAGCAGTCTCTTTGATATTCTGTCCACTCTAATTTTAACTATTACATCTAACTGGGTCACTGAATCTTCATACTGCTAAACCAGGTGCAGTGTGAAGTAGCAATTCAGAGTTTAGTGTTGTGGTTAAAAATTCACTGGTGAGTAGGTCAAAACCAGCAAGGTTATTTTCACTTTCATCCTAATTGATGTTTGAAGTGCCTTTGTGCTAATCCTGTTATTGGAAAATAAGGTATAGAAGTAATCGAAAACCAGACACTAGGGGCCATATCCTGCCATCACTTTGCATCTGAAACCCACAGAAATGGCACTTAGAAAGCTGTTTATGTAACAGTGGCAGGCTATGACCCTTCATTTTCAATTTTACTTAATACTAGATAAGCTTCCCCTTTTGACAGATAGACACAGTTCCTTCTAAATAACACGACTCATATTCAAAGAAGTTTGCTCTGTGTATTTATGTTTTTTAAATCTTTAAATTTCTTAACTTATTTTAATATTTTTTTCTTTCCTCCCCTTACTCCTCAAGCTATCTAGCAGCATTTTGGATATATATAACAGTGACCAGGGAATGGCACCTGCTAATATGGGTCTCACAAATGCTTGCTCAGCTAATCTACCAGTAAAAAGGGAACTCACAGGTAAAAGAACTCTGAGATTTTAGTATTTTATAACTGCAGAAGAGATGATGTGTCTCTTAAAAGTTGAATAAATCTTACCTATGAAATAGATGTCCATAACTGAATTCCTGAGAATTTTGCAGTTTGTAGTTTCATTTAAGGAAAAGAACAAAGACCAAAGAGAAACGATTTATTCTGTTCTCTTTAGCAATTCAGAAAACATGTTTGTTCCCTGATTTTTATGAACTTCATGCTTCTAATAAACCTAATTATTTTGGGAAACATAGTGGATTCTTCCACATTTGGCTCCTGATCAATGGTATAAATAAATTATCATCCATGAAATTTGTTCCAGGGTAGAACAAATGGTTCTTTTAAAACCTTACAATACGGCTATTCAAGGTAAATCTATATTAATGGATTAACAACTTTAAAAGTTACATTCAATTAATCCAAAGAATGCTAACAACCATGTACAGTTTATTAGTGTCGCTCAGTGGAAACAGTGAGTTTGTTCAATGTCTTACAAATCTGATTAACTCTTGCATTATGGGATATGCAAATTCATACTCACATTAGTGTTTTGTAAGTTATCCTGATGTAAAATACAGTAAATTGGAGAAAAGTACCCCACCATGTCATTTCTATATTCTTAAATAAAAAATGTGCAGTAGAAAATCCTTAACCTGCCAGACTCACTCAAAATTTAGTACTGGTAGAATATAGATTAACTTATGATCTTGTATAATAACAAAAAGAGTAATGAAGTAAAAAGACTAGAAAGCTGCTCTTTCTGACAAGAGGCCATTTTGAAAATGTGAAAGTACTGAAAGTGCAACTTCAGAACTTCTTTAATAGATGTTACTTTCTGTCAGAAGCAGATACACGAGCAATGGCAAAGGAGAGACAAAAAAAGGATAACCATAATCTCAGTAAGTATATGTTCATCTTCCACCTAATTAAATTGAATGTATGAGGAATACAAAAATAAAATACATTAGCTACCATGTCTCTGCTCTTCTTCGAGATCATCAACGTACCAGGGTAATCAAATTGAACTCTGTCTGCAAACACAGCCAAGCACAGAGATTTCTTCCTTGAAATTAATTTTTGCAACTTTTGACTTTCAAAATACTTGCTTATTGTAATTAATTTCTTTACGTATCATCTCCTGCTACTAGTTTTTATTCTAAAGTTGTACATGTAACTTGCATACTCTACTTTATGTTGTCTCTAAGGATTACAGTGCAAAACAGACAAGAAAGGAGGCAGATGGCGAAAAAAACAACAGTGAAAATCCAGTCTTCACACCTTATTTGCTGAAGCACCCAAGTGAGAGGCTGTATCTCTCTATGGGTGATGGGAAGCAAAAATATTTGCAGAGGATATTGGGCAATCTCTAGACACTTAGTTAAGCACTTACACTTGGGGAAATTGTATGTCACCAAAGGAGATCAGGGCAGGACTCACAGTGCTCTGACTTTGCTCTGATACACAAGCCCCCAGCTGCTGTAGGCTGGGATATACTTCTCTTTCCTTTATGAAGAACAGTGCAGACATGCACACATATTAGACACTGCAGTTCTAGAGGAATAGTTTCCTGAACTTTAGGCGTAGAACATAGTGAAATTCATAGTCCAGTGTCTAAATATTGAAAATGATCACTGTTGAAGTCATCTGCAAATTCCACTAAGGTGAAACTCCCTTGTGTGGAAACAGAGTGGAAAAAGGATATGTAAACATCAGAAAAAAAAAGAAGCTTTAGTTCATGTTTAGACAATCTGTGACTATTTCATTTTCTAGGAGTCTAGCTGTAAATGGGGGAGAAACCTTTAGGTAGGGTAAAATAAAAAGATACTACTAATCATGGAGTTTGTCCTGTGAGTAAGTCAGAGGCAGGTAAGAGATCATGTTGGAACTTTTATTAGAGGAAGATTTTTTCTGTGCATCGACTGACTTGTTTTTATCTAATTAAAATGTTTTATGTTCAATTTCTCCAAGAATATTTCACCATAAAAATAGTAACTGTTTCTTTTTAACAGTTGAGAGGAGAAGAAGGTATAATATTAATTACCGAATCAAGGAGCTTGGCACACTCATCCCCAAGTCTAATGATCCGTGAGTTCAACAGCTTTTCCTATAATAATGTTTATAGTTTAAATATAGGGGTGGTGGAGGGGCAAGGAGGGAAGGAGGGGAAATAGGAAGAATGGGGGAAAGACAGTTGCATACACTAACTGTAGGACTGAGTAATGGGAATCAAAGACTTCCATGCTGGGTCACTGGCTCAGATCAGGCTGTTAAAGCAACAAGCCTCTGACGGATTTCTGGGTCCTATTGGGAAAACTTATGTGAAAGGATAATAAAATGAAAGTAGCTCCAGGTGTTTCTCACACCAGGAAAAAAAACCCACCACCAACAAGCCCGAAAAAAACAAAATCCAAACAAAACCAAAAATAGGAAAAAAAATAAGATAAGCCAAACAACAGAAAGTCCATCTCTCTTTCGCTAGGAGCAATTGTGTGGTGTCTCGGCCGAGGGAAGGAGCGATGCTTTCAGCCCTTGACATGGGCCCTCTAGTGGGATAAAACAAAATGCGTGTTGTCACTGTATGCCCTTTGCCTAAGCAAAAAAACCCACAACAAAACAGCTTGAGCCTGTAGACTGAGAATTTTTCAGAAGCCCTCCACTCAGCGCAGGGAAAACACCATTCCTAAGATGCAAGGATAAAAATAATAATTGATATAATTGCTAGAATATTATAATTTTATAGTAATGCTTAACAGTAATATAAAATGCATTGCTTAAGAGATACCTGCATTCCCTTAAAGCTTATATTTGTCATCAATATGAAAAAAGCCTATTGCAGGATTAGCAATACCACTTCAGCGTGATATTTAATGCTGATCCTTAGCCTTATATTTCTCATGTTACTCAGGGAAATCTTAAAACCATGCACTATCATGACTCTAACTCGAATAAAATTGGTTATACAGATTTTATTTCTATCATTTGCATGTGAATACAGACTTGCATGATACTTTAAATGAAAAATCTATTGATATTTCAACCTTTGTGGATTTTTTTTCTTTTTCTTGGGACTAAGAAACTTCTGATTGTATTAAGGATTTCTACAACAATATAAAGCTGTGTGAGACTTACATAAGTGCAAGTTGGATGGAATAACAAGCCACTGGAGTGAAATCATCAGAGAGAAAGTTAACATAACAAATCCATTTTTGAGAACTCTCAAATTTGGCTCCTTCTACAGCATCCACCCAAGCTTAGATAAATGGGCATGTTCTTGTTATCAGTATAGAATTAGGTATTGCTGCTGAGTTAAAATAAAAAGGGCTTTAAGTACCTAAATAAATTTTTGGCCACATGTGATCCATTGCAAACACAGAGTGGTAGAAGACTTAATTTTGCTGGTGCATCTTTCAGTATTCAAGACCATTTGGGCAAGTGATTGAAAGATTTCTCAGAAAAACAGTGGATGGCACTGTTGGTTTGCAGCTATAAAGCAATACTGAAAGCAAGTTATACTGCAATTAGAAATGGACATGAGCTATAAATTCCAGTTGTGATTTATGATTGCCTACAGAGGTGTGTCAGTTCCATGCTTTGGTCTGGATTCAGCTTTAGGTTGTGAACTTACTCAAGACATTAATACCTACAGCAATCACTTAAGTTCTTAAAATGAATGATCCAGACATATAATTTTGCCCCAGTAAGTGTATGATGGATTTTACCCCCAGATTTTGATGGTGGTGTTGATGAAAAAGCTTCAGGTATAGAACCTGAAAACACCACCTTTTCTTGTTTTAGTCTGAAAACCCATGACTGAAATAATCAGCGTGACAGCCCCAAAGTGACTCATGTTTACAAAAGCAGGAGGTGAACTTAAGTATCTCATGTTCTGAGGACTGCTGTCTTCAAAAGGCTGGTAATCAGTGCTCCTTTTGAAAATAGGTTTATTTAGAAGCTTTCAAGTTGGTGTTGAAAAAAAAAAAAAAAGAGGCATCAAAAGATGCAGGACCCTTTTGAAGAAGTAGTTCATAACATAACTTTTCTGTATCTTGGTGTCAGGTTACATTAATCCAAAGAAGTGTAAACACTTTTTAAAAAATATATATTAGTAGGTTGAAGTACATTAATTTGTTATGTTGTTTTGCTGGCTGAACAGATCAATATTATTATTTCTTTCTGGTATGGTCCTGTGTTGCCAAATCGTAACTCAGTGTCCTTACCCTCTCTTTCAGCTCTTGCTTTTTCCTTCATAACACCTTACTGTGCCCCCAATCTGCCCCCTTCTTCTTTGAAAGAAAGAGATGTATCATCTCTTACAATACTTTATCTGTAACATTTTACCACACATAGCATTTTCACCTTATATATTGATTTTAGAAGATTCTTCTTTTAGTGAGAACTTAACTGTAAAAGGAGAAACCTTACTGATGCTTGGACTAATGACAGTGAAGCAAATCAGCTTTTGTATTGAAGAGCAAATACTACTATAACTAAGCCATTGTGGTTAGCATGCCTGTCCCAGATGGCTTGCTTCAAGAAGATTACATTCAGACTCAGGAACAGAAAAGGACATTTTTGATGCTATTTGGAAAGCTTTTATGATTTATATTTCTTAGAAGTGGTGTGTGGGGTTTTTATTTCACTTCTGTTTTGTTAGTTATATAGTGAACTTGTTTGGCTCCTGCAGAGCTTCCACAGGGACTTTCTTTTGACTGGCTTAAGCCCCTATTCTTCTCACTTTTTTTTCTTCTTTTTTTTTTTTTTTTAATTTAATGATGAAAAGTGTGGATTACATTGCTTAAATGAATGGGTGTTTCAAGTTCACTTCATCAGCATTAGAAAATGGAGATAAGTATAAGTTGCAAAGAACTTTGACTCTTTTGTTTAATTTTCAATGCTTAGATATCCAAGTGGTAGATGATTCAGAAATGCAAAACAGTTATACAGAATAATTCAAAAATAGAATAAAAAAAGGACTTAAAATACGTAGTCATATTTTGCTGAAAAGCGTATAACCTGCTCCTTTAAATATATCTACCTTTCCATTCATTGTTCCTTTGTGTTCAGCCCTTCAGAATCCACCTTTTAAGTGGTTAACTGGACTTCACGTTGTGATGGAGTCTGGAAATGCCTACACAAGAGCTGTCTTATGACTAGAATTGTCAGAAATACTGAGAAGAAAAAATATTTCCTTTAAGATTTCCAATCATTGTACAGAACTGGGATGTTAAGAGAACCACTGAGGATTTGGGCAGAAGTAGAGGGCTGCTCTCACTCTCTCTTCTCTGCTCTCTGCATCTGCCAGTGCCTGACCTTCTCTCTATTGTTTGTGGACAGATCTGTTAGTGGCCAGCACAACCCATATTTCTTGCAGAGGAAAAGCTTGCGTGTATATATATATATATAGCTATTATAAAGAGGAACTTGATGCCTCTTTCCAGAGAATCACTTTGTAATTGTGCAGGTCATAACAAGTGCAAAGTCCTTCAAGCTTAGCTTATAGCTAATTTCTCAAAAATAGGGAAACGGTCTACAAATGTAGCTTCAACTTCACAAATGTATTTGTTATCAGTAACTGCCCTGTGGCTGGAAAGCTCAGTGACTATCACCCTTTCCCAAACTGTTTTTGTTTAGTTTCAGTCTTGGATGATCAGGTGCTCTTGTCTACTGGAGTTCAACTTGTGTAAATCAGTGAAGTTCCTTTGTCTTCAGCAAAGTTAAGCAATGGAAATGAGTTGTAGATCAGTCTTATGGCTATGCTTCTTTTCTCCTAAATGAGAAACTCCCCTAGGTGAGAGTAATGTTTTTGTCTGGGCATTTGAGATTTGTAGAGAGATTTAACTGGTGAAATTTGGAGGAGCCAGGGTTCAGAGACCAATAAACCACAATGTTTGGGGTTTATACTTATTTGCTCCTTTTCCATGCAAAATCATGTTATGTGTGGTAGACCTTTCCTAATTAACCCAGATTTCACATACATAGCTTGCTAAACATTTCAAAATGTTGTATCACATTCACACACAGAGATACAGTCTTCATTTGCAGAGATCATTGCTGATGACTAGACTTGCAAAGCTTCTTACTGCTCTCATACTATTGCTTCCCATGTAGAGTTTCCGATGTGTTTCAGTGTTTACAGGATGGAGCCTCATATTAAAAACCCCAAGCAAACAAAGAAACAAACCCCTTCCCCCCCCCCCCCCCCCCCAAAAACAAGAAAGGAATTAACAGATAGTAAAACAGTAAAATGAAAAAAAGGATTCCTTCTGTCTCCAAAGAGAGAGGTCTATATCTAACTTTGTAGGTTCATAACAGTTATGAATGCAACTGTTTGTCTGGTTTTATAATGTAGTTTCCTGTCAAAAGGCTAGCAACTGCCAGTGGTTGCTCAGGTTTTAAATGTTCTCAGATGGGTTTGTATACCTTGTCTTTTCAAATTTTGTCTCTATTATATACTGAGCAAGCACACAATATGAACCTTTAAAAATAAAACCCCACGATTTCATCGTACCACTTTTATAACTTTTTGGATAATTTTATTTACTTCCAATTTAGAATTCAGCATTTTCAGAGAAATAACCGTCAACTGATCAGAGAATTTTTGAATTCTTCCTATGCACTTGCTCTGCTTGTATTTAATCCATCTTCAGATGCTGAGTTAGTTATTTCATCCCACATTAGATGAATCTGCTTGTCTGCCTCCTTGCTAAGCAGAGCTGTATACATTGCAGACTATTGATATACAGACAATTCCCCCCATTTGCCTTCATTCTCGCTAGTTATACTGCTACTCTTCCAACCCTGCACACCTGCACAGAGCCTCTGTTTCTCCGCAGCACTGTTCAGTGACTGCTGTAGTTGCTCTGGGACAGAATGGGTAGAGAGTGTCTGCAGTGCAGAACCAGCACAGACATCTTCAGTATTTTCTTTTAATCCTTGTATAAATGAGAGATGCAGAGTGAAAAAGATGTTGGCTTCTAAGGTCACCATCTGATCTTTTGCTGTGTTGCCTTTAGATACTGAAAGACTTAACTCCAATATTCCTCATTTAATAAGACAACAACCAGTATATGTATATATAATTAGAGATTTAGAAAATATGCAGGATACATGCATATGCACATGTACACACACATAACAGTCTCTTAAATTATAATAGTAGCCACAGCACCTTAGAGCTCCATGATAGTATTGCCTCTCAAATTTGTAAATATTACTACAAGGGATGTCTATCCATATATACCTCATGCAGAAGCTGCTGAGACCCATCCCTGTGGCAATTTGAATCCAGGAATTAGCCCCCCAGTGGAAACTAATTTGAACCTGTGAGAAAAACAAACCATTACCATATATGTAAAGAATAAAAATATCAAGGTAACAGGATCTAAAAGTAAGCAATATCAGAAAGTTTGTCAATTATGTATAACGTGAATGAATTCCATCACAAAAAGATTCCAAATACAGAATGAATATTCATGAATACAAAGTCATCAATATATGGCTTATTCATATGTAAATGAGAAAAAATAACAAAAAATATCTTTGAATTTGATTTTGAATTCATAACATTTTGTAACTGACATGATTTTTTTTGTGAAATAACTTAAATATTTGCCAAATAAGTGATATATGCATATTTTTCTGCTGCTGTTATATGCCTTAATTATTTCCATTTTGCCAGCTATGGCTTAATTTTTAATTTCATAGTAATATATTTTTATGTTCAGAAAATCAGTCCAAAACTTGCTTAGTTTTGTCTTAATTACATGCTAGGAGGAGCTGACCCCCTTGCCTAGGCAGACTGTGTTTCTCTGAAGTTTATGCTAAAAGTATTCTTCTTACTGTAGCACTTTTCAAAGTAGCCATGTAAATGTCCTAAATCAGTCGTTTTCACTTGAAATCAAACGAAACCCTACTGTAATTCTGAGCAATATCTAGCATACATAGGTCATACCTGAGATGGCAGTGGAGATTCCCAGTTTGAAATGTTGTTGTTCTCCAAAATTAAGCTGGTTCTATTTGTTCGGGACTACTCTGTTGTAGACAGGCAGCTCACTGCCTTCAAACTCCACTGCAATGAAAGTGTAAATATGGACCTTTCATTATTATACCTAACTTTCCAAAGATGTCTGAAGAAATCGAGATTATAATGTGATGGCAGTCAAAGATTTGTCCAGAAAATAAACATGTGTTCTTAAAACTTCCTTAACCTTTACAGTTTGAATATAGGTTTCCCACATATAAGGAGAAAGTCCTCTCCTAGAAGAGAATTCATGGATGCTGTCAGGAAAATGTTCTGTCTTCTCACCTGGACAAGAAGTACAGGGAGGGGGAGAAGGCAGAGAGACTGCCAAGAGATGATGCAGCTGTCATGAGGGAGACAAGTTCTGCTCTTGGTTCCCAGACCCACCTCATCATTAATGGTTTTTGACCAGGGAATGTCTACATGAGGCCACTTCAGCAAGCAGCCTCTGATGTTTTGGCTTTGCAGACAGCAGGGTCTGAGACAATAATTATTTTCTCTCTGACCTCCTTACCTTCTAATCACAAAAGCTGTGCACTGCTGGCTTATACCACTGAGACAAGGGGAGGTCCCAGTGTGCTGCCCAAAGAGGACAGAGATGCAAATCTGAGCCTTCTCTGATCAAAAAGCTGGTTCTCCCAAATCTCTAGCAAATGTTTTAAATTCTAGGATGTGGTTTAACACTGTAATGTTTTATCACAAATAATTTTGCATATTCTTCTGAGCATCTTTAAAGCTATCAGATCCATAAAGTTTTATCACTAGTATCACTCGATCTAAGCTATCTTGCAGTGAAGTGGATAGTTCAGATAAACTCTTCCGTCTGTATATTTAACACAGCAGGCTCATCCTGTATCACAAAATACTATTCTTTATTAGAAATTAAATATTTTCAACAAATTTCATCCTTGTTCAAAGGTCTCCAAGACCTTACATAAAGGAATACAATGGAAAGTTAATAAATGTGTACATGAAAGTCCTTGAAACAGATCCATTTGAACAAGTGTATTGTTGTTAGTAAGACTGCTTGTACAGTGGAATTAAACCATGATTTCCTGAATGATGGACAGGTGTAATCTTTTTTTTTTTTTACAAGGCTTTTCTATGGAGTCAGGGTCTGCATGTAGCTGTGGGGTTTAACTTGGTTTATATTGTTTCAAGTTTTTTGAATGGGATTTCTGTCACTCCATAGACATTATAGTTATGCAAGTGTGATTTGTCATCAGTGAGGAATCACATTCAACACAGACCATTTTTTTTTCCACAAGCATAAAAGCAACCTCATTAGCAAGTCAGGTAAAAGGAGTAGTATATTCAAAATGATCTTTAAAAATTTAGGCTTAAGTCCTCAGTGATGTATATTTCCTAGTTCATTAATGCAGAAATACTGCACATAGATTTTAATCTTAGAGTTAATAATAAAAGCAATTTTCACTAAAAATATAAAAACTGTAATGGTAGAATCATGATATTGCATTTAGCTCTCCCACAAAAAGTCACTTTATTACTTTCTTTTGACACTTATTTTCATTCTGGGATTAATTTTACTATATAAGGGCTTCTTAACTATTCTATTAAAATTTCCATTCAGAAGCAATAATATCTAAGAGTGAATAATAGTCATGTAAATCATTATTTCATATTAATGTAAAAGATTTTGTAAGTTCTTATGAATTCTGCTGACATGCACAATTGTGAAAAGGTTATCTCTACATTCTGCAGTGATATGCGCTGGAACAAAGGAACTATTTTAAAAGCATCAGTGGAGTACATCAAGTGGCTACAAAAAGAACAACAGAGAGCCAGAGAATTAGAACACAGGCAAAAGAAATTAGAGCATGCTAACAGAAGACTTCTACTCCGAATTCAGGTTTGTATAAGAGCGTTGCCATGACTTACAAAGCTTCCTCAGTACTTATCCGTCATCAAATTTTATTAACCTATATCCTTTTCCACCAAATGGCATTTATTAAAAATAAACTGACTTTCCCTACTTATTGCTGTGTATACTGGGGAGGGGGCACTTTTTAGATTTCTAGGAAATTCGTTTGATAATTGGACCTTATATAAAGGAATACCTTGAAAGTTAATGACGTTAATAAAGTGTTTGTAGAAACAAGTTCCTTATTGTTCTGGTTTCTTATGCATTACAGCCAAAGAAAGACAAAAAAGGAAGCAAAAAAAATACCTCCATGCAGAAAAAAAATAAATAAAATCAATACTGGACACAAAATTCCCTTCAGTATTTTCATTTTCCCTCTGTAATCATTTCAGTTGTTATACTTCCTTGGGTATAGTGTGCCTTGTTATATCTGCCTGTGACATGAAACAGCAGAATATAGCCCTGCGTGGCTTGAAATATAACATTTGATTATAGACACATTTGAAGATGAAATGGATAGACAGACATAAAATCAATCTTCTTATAAGTGATGTTTTACATATATATGTGTATATAATAAGCATCATCAAATAAAATATCTTCTGTTTCTCTGGATGACTGTGAATAACTAATTAGAAAATTGCAACATTTTTCTGTCACCTTTATTGGGCTCAGTATGCAATACTTTTAGAGAGACTGTCTTATCCTTAATATTCCCATAGGACAGTTGCTTAACAACCGGAGGAGAAATACAAACACTTTTTAGTAGCAAATTTTCATAGATTAGCAATTTCATATTTAAAAAGAGCCTCACAACTGGAACAAAATATCATGAAATTGCATGTATGATATGTATGCTTATTGCAGTAGTTCTAATGACACTGCTTTGTCTTTTAAATTAATTTTCTAATCGTTTTTGTTTGAAAAATTAGGAACTGGAAATCCAGGCACGTGCACATGGCCTTCCAGTCATATCTTCACTCAGTGCTGTTGATTTAGCTGCACAGGTCATCAAGCAACAGTCTTATCCAGAGGAGAACTCTGTAGATTACTCTCAACAAATGCCTCTAGCACATGAGCAAAATTCTGATGTTTGTGATGGATCTACAACCTTTTCCGATCCGCTTTCACATTTCACAGATCTATCCTTCAGTGCAGCTTTAAAAGAAGAGCAACGACTAGAAGAAATTTTACTGGATGATACGGTGTCTCCATTTGGAACAGACCCACTCTTGTCCTCCACATCCCCAGCTGCATCAAAAGAGAGCAGCAGGAGAAGCAGCTTTAGCACAGATGATGGAGATGATTTATAAAATCAGAAAGGTCCTCATACTTCTCTAAAAGACTGAGTTGTACTTAAGCATGGTGTTTGTGCTTATTTCATATATGAATGAGAGCCACTGTGAAGATAAGTTACTACATGACAAGGGTGTTAAATCAGCCCTTACTTCACAGGAAAATGAGATGGACATGAACTCACATCACTTTGCTCCAAATTTACACCCTCTGTTCACAGATGACATTTGCACAAATCTTTCTTCACTGGGAACGTTTTTACTGTCATTCCAGGACGTTTTACAGCACTATGAAAATGGTTGCCACAAAAGGAATACCCATGTTACGAAAGTGTATTCAAACTCTCTCTTCAATCTCTGTTCACATTTCTCTGATATAAAGATGAGTTTTAGTAATTTGCTTAATTCTTTTTTCTGTATAACTAAAAATTCTACAAAACATGAAGCAACAGGGAACTATTTAAGCTGGGAACTGTAGAGATTTTACAGGTTTTAAAATCTGAAAGAAACAGATGGTAATGCTTTCACACAAGTGAAGTGAGCATGAAATTTAAACTGTGTAGGCTTCTCTTTAAAATCAGAAAATCTATTAAGCTTTCCATGGTATTCCATTTTTTTTAAATTTCATTTGTAAAAAAAAAAACAGACTTGTAATATATATATTAATAATACAGAAGAAAAAAGGAAAGTAACATAATGACAGAGACTAAAACGAACTAAGACAGCAAAGGACATGACATTTCAGCAGAAAGACTGCGTGGATGCACAAGACTCCACAAAGATACTCTGGGTTACAATTAACACAATTTAAAACAAGCACTGCTGGTCACAGTGCTATGTCAGCTGCTTATTCCAAGAATATTAAAACTGTGTCCCTTTTTGTGTGGAAGAGATCAGAATTCAGAGTCACAGCACTGTGCTTCTAGGCAATGCTCTCAGTGTCCTTTGGTAGTACAGTAAGGTTTATCCAAAGGGACTCTATTTTATCTATACATATGCCTTTTATCCGTATGAAAATGGACAGGAATTACAAGATTCCCATCGCATACACTTGAAACAAAGAGAATGTAATTTCAGATTTGACTTTTCAAACTGAAGGAGATATTCAGAAGTGCTGATGTGATGCACTGCTTCTCATAACTAGCTTGCTGGGAGGGGGCGTTCAGAAAATGTGTTTTGATGACTCAGTAAAGGCTTGGCAGTTAGAAGGCAGATAGAAGGCATATCATTTCTATGCATAGTGAAATTCTGGACAGTGATACATGTTCCTGGAGGACACTAAGTGCATTCATTCTAATTGTAATATTAAGACATGGGAAAATAAGCTGGCACGGGTTCTTCATAGCTCTTCCTCAACCAAAGCCAAAAGATCACATTAGGGAGTTCTTTAACAATTCAAAATATATTTAAAAAATGTGCATTAATTTTGCTGACACTGAGCTTGCCTCACACCTCTGAAGTGTCATGGGATTGGAAATAGTAAGAAGAGATTAAAGTGGACTGTTGTTTTCATGAACATTTTAAATGTATTTAAACATATTATCCAAGAGCACAACAATTGTTTCTTCCTTTTGCCTCTTCTGTTATTGGTACCTCCTCCTCACAGTCCTTGTGAGGTTTGTGTTACGCCAGGGCCATAGCCCATTCTTGACCAACCATGCTAGTGTCATGATAGTTTCTTAATTGGCAATTTAACAGTGGGATAATAAATTACATCTGGATGGCTATGAAAGATGATGGAGTATGCAATTTCACAAGAATATATGTTTTTTACGAAAATCAAGGATTTCTATAAGCCTGTGCATGTTACTCAGGTGTTTGATTGATGGCTTGGCTTCATGAGCAAAGATTTGGGAAGGGCTTTAACCACGCTTACTACAAGCAGGATGACCAAGGGCATGTGGGATATGCAAATCTGGCTGAAAAAAAGGGTGCTAAGGCAATCAGGAAATGTCCGACCAGGACTGTCATCTCCTGAGTGATCTCGAGCTACCCGTGCGCTGGTCCGCCTGCATGCAAGGTTGGATCTGCAGCTTCCCATGCACCTTGTCACCTACTGTTTCAACCCTCACCTGTCCATTACAGACAAGTGAGAGTAAGCCCTTCCAGCCTGCGCAGTGGATTTTTTAGGTGAGGCGCAGCTTGCACAGAACTGGCCCTACCCTTTACACCTCAGACAGACCAGTACCAATCTTCTTGTTGTTTATGATTATGTTGCTTCACAGACAGGCCAGCACCTGACCCTCAGAACAGGCTATGATATGGTTCCATTGCATGGTTAAAAATAATAACAACAAACAGGGTTCTTGTAATTTTATCTTCTTTAGTAGCATGGAGGAAATGGGTGGAAAAACTAATGGGTATTAACCAAAGGTAACTGAACATAAGATTGATCAGCATTTTAATTGGCTGCTTCTGTAAATTAGAGTCATTAAAAGAGGAACCACTTAGTTTTACCAATGACTATTTAATATTGACATTTGAATATAAGATATGATGAGTTAAAAGTAACATTTATGCTCACATTATGTCTAGTGTAGGATATGTGTTGTCCATTTCAGCTGATGAAAAGAAGGGATACTTGGTTGATATCAAATGCCATTTGTCCTCGTACTGCAGTTTCTACTACATTAGTTTTAAATACACCAGTGTGGATTGCTCATAATGGAGAAAAAGAAATTAAATATGAATGTATTACATGATTTTCCCATTGAACTTTTACATGGGAGTTAGACCATACTTCTGAACTATATTGACTTTAAATAACATCCTGAATTTCATCACTTTTATAAGCACTGTTCTAAAAAAACATTATAGTACATCCATTAAATTTTTTAAAGTTGATTTTCATTCTTCTGACAATTGCTTCAGTCTGAAGCACCAGACTTTTCTTTTCCTGCATGAGAAACTTAACAGAAGACAGTGAATGCTCCTTTTGCAATATGTTGTATTAACATGTATTGCAACTAAACATATTCAAGCTGTCTTCATTTATACAAAGCTTCCCACCCCCTTGCCCAAAATACTAAATTTATTCATACCTGTGGGTGTGTATTATGGCAATGTTGTTTCACTACCATTATGATTTTTCTAGTAGGAAGCCATCATAAATTAGTATTTTAACCATAACCTGTATTACAGCATCACCCTTGAAATTAAATGGTGGTACAGGGTGTAAGAAACAGTAATCTAGAACATTCAAGGTGTGAATAGGTAGTATTAAAGGTATTTAGATATGTGTGCTGGTAACCGTATCCTGGACTTCTTGGAGTAAGCACTTTCCCATCCCAGGTTTGGTAAGGCTGCTGTTAAGGTGAGAGGACTGTTAGGGCAGAGCAGAGCAAAGCCCAGTCCTGTCAGTTTGCACAGAGGAAAGTGGTTTCATGGCTACAGGGCCAAATCCTGACATCCTTCCTCATGCAGAATTTCTTTGCTGTCCATGAGGGCTTTATTGAAATGTGGTGCAAGCAAAACATACTTTTTAGCTGTTTCCTACAGAAATCCATTTAATGAAATCTCATGAAAGAGATGCATAATATGTCTGTAGCTCTGGGCCTGGACAAGAATTTAAAGACTTAACAGAGTCTGACCTCAAGAAGGGCACAGGGTGAGGGGAACAGGCTATTTTTGTCAAGATGTATTAAATGAGGAGTTCTTGCTTGTTTTCAGTAAAAGCTGTTTCAAAGCTGGTGGACATACTCTTACAGAATACACAAACCAGTGGACTGATACTTATACAAAAGGAAAGGGAGCTGAAGTTTTAATATTCTGTTTAATTCATGAAATGGATATAGATGTTATACTAAGAACAGAAAACTAAATTATTTCATTGTGCATGGCGTGAATAGCGTGAAAAGCTACAGTAAATGCAAACAGTTTTAACAAACAGGAACACAGTTGCTTTATATAGTAAAATAACTATAATTCAGTCACTTAATCTTAATAAGAACATTGTTATTATAATACCTTTTGACTTTAATAAGGCTGTATATATGAATGGAGGATGTAAAATTATTGTAATTTAAAATTATGTTAAGTCTCTTAGATAAGTAAAAGCATTTACATTGCTATTATGAGACTGTAGAATATTTTTATAATAATTGCTATTTTTCATTGTTAACCATATAGTATCTTGTTTTCTAAGTCATTGTATGCAGACAGAATGTACTTTATTATGTACTGTATATGCAATCTTTTTAAAATTGCATTTTCTACATACTAGTATTTTATATCTATTATATGAATACAATTAAAGGACTGAAATTAAAACATCTCTTTATCTGTCCCTTGTGATACTTCACTATCTGATTCCTCAAAGAATGCCATCACAAGACAATATAATAACATCCACTAAGAACATCTGAGATACCTAACAGGCAAAACACTTCACAACTGCTAAACATTTAGTCCATTATGATACATCATGATCCAGTAGTCTCCCATTAATAAAAATAATTGATACATTCTTTAATATGGTCTCCTGCCATCTGCTTATTCCTGCTGCTAATGCTTTGATTTATAGAAAGTGTTTTCAGAATGTTGCAAAATTGCTAGCAGGCATGATGATATCAGTTAAATCACTAAGATGCTGTACAAAAACCTTTTAATGTACTAGATGTTCCCCAGACAATCTAGGATAAACAGAATATTGTATTTTAAGATGTAAAACATTTTCTAAAGCTGATAATTAGGTGGCACTTGGCACTAAAAGATACTCTTACTTAATGAAATAAGTAAGGATTTGGATTAAATTTTTAATTCCTAATATAAAAAGTGCTGCTTTCTTTAGAAGACATTTGGTGCTTTCTGTGCATGAAATAATTCAAAAGTAGTTGAGTAGTAATATATATTTTTCAGCTATAGTTTTGTAATAGTTCATTTTTTCATGTAAAGTACTGCTCATTGTTTGTGTATATCAGATAAACATTCTATTTGTAACAAAGATGTTCTCCCGGCTCTTTATTTCATGAAATCATTAAGACACCCCTATCAGTATCAAAACAGAATTTTATTATAAATATTATTTAAAGTTCAGTGATTAACTATGGAAAGAAGCTTTGCTTTTTTACATATTTATTATGCACTTAGGATTTGATCATAAAAGGTACTCAGCTTCTTTGTGAGGGACTAAGGGCCCTCAGTTCACTTTGAAGAAAGGCAATGCTAAGCCTGTTGCAGACTCAGACACTTAATGATTAAATAAACAGCATCAGAAAATAAAATCAAAAGTTATTTCAGGGATTTAAATAAGCACTATGTGATACACTGCTTGATTAAAAGTAGTGATATTTGCAATCGGCAGACAGATTTAATGTCAGCATCATTTGTACTGTCAACCAATGGGAGATTAGAGGAAAATGTATGAAATTGTGCTAATAATCAGACCAAAAGTCTAATTATAAAGGAGGCTGCAGCAGAGAAGTATGCTAAGGCTTATTGGTTAAATCACTGGTACCCATCAAGATAAATATATATCAGTTTCATTAATTGGCAACCACAAGACAAGTGTTCTATATACAGGGTGGTGATGATTTTGATATAATCCACCACATTGTGGTTAAGTATATGATTCATGTAATAAGAAAAAGGTGCCTCCAGGCTATTGTTCCTAGCATGGATTAAAATTTACATATTGCTTCTCCTTATGTCAAAACATCTGGTGCCTGCAAATGCTAACATTTCGTTAAAAAGTTTCACAAGATAGGAAAAGTGGATTGGAAACACTCTGTGTGAATCATTCAAGCATTGTAATGGAATAAGAAGCTGAGTTATGAACAGGCAGATTGAACAATAGTGTAGTCAAAGAAATTCATATGCTTATGAGTTTGATAGGCAACAATTTGTATAAGGAGGGGAAATGCCCCAAATCAGAAGAAATGACATTTTTTTCAAATGTCTTTGAGATATGTCATATTGGTTACTTTTCAAACTGCATTTTCCCCCCAGATAAGATCCCTGTACCTAAGTATACGTACTCAAGTGTTAAGATCACGGCTAACACATTCAAAATACAAACATTCCTAGACAGGTGTGTTTTCAAAAGAGGAAATATAAAAAAAAAATGGCTCCCCCAAAGTGGTT